TTCGAACCTTTGGGAATATGGTGTCATCTACGGCCTTGAACAAAATATCTTTGGCAATGTTGTCCAAATTATTTCGTCCTCTATCTTCACTAGTCCACTCCATTTTTGGCTTTGGAGCATTTGGAGCTAGTGCGGCGGCGGTGTTAACTTCCATGATTTGGATAGGACCATTTGTGATGACTTCCCACATTTCGTCATTTAAAGCAGATAAGTGCACCTGCATTCGAATTTTCCAATCATCAAATTTGTTAAGTGAGAAAAGCAGATTTTGAGCGAGAACCATATCTCTCTTCATCTTGAAGATTTTGAGATCTATCTAGCAGTCAAAATTGAGTCAAATAGACAACCGCTCTGATACCACTTGTTGGTTCCGAAAAGGTGGCGAGAAGTCTAGAGGGGGGGGGGGGGTGAATAGACTTCTCTAACTTTTCAAAACTTTCTTCGAAAACACACAAGGAAAATAATACTTCGGTAATTTCAACTCTAAGTAACAAGCATCAACAAGATAAACAACTTAGAATGTGCAGCGGAATAGGTAGCGGTAAAGTGTTATGCTTAATAGTGCGGTGCTCAAAGAGAGATTCTAAACATGCAACACGTTAGTAACACTTGATATGATTCAAGGATGATGTGCGTAAAGTTTGACTTGCATGCAAACGTGGGAACTATCAACCCCAGACAGATAAAGATATGCGATAAATCGTAATCGGGTTAGTTCGCAGTTAAAATAAGCATACACAAAACATATGAGCAGTAAGTAAAGAGAGAGAGAGATTTATAGTGGTTCAGAGGTGGTGTAATCCTCCTAGTCCACTCTTCTCCTTTCACTCCAAGGAGGAATGTAACAACCCGTGTTACGGCCATCAATCCCGGATTAATTATTTAATTAATCCCGTTAATAATAATTAAATATGATTTAATTCGGTTAGGTTTCCCTTTAATTAATTAATAAGGCCCACCATGAACCGTGGGCCCTTGCCTAAATTAGAGCCTTAAGCCTATTAGGAATAAAGAAAGTAAACCTTTTACTATTCAGATTCTGATTAGGAATCCTAGACCTAGTTATCTATTAGGAATAAAGGAAGTAGGTCTTTTACTATTCAGATTATGATTAGGATTCTCTTTAATTAATTAATATGGTCCACTACGGACCATGGAACCCAATCCTTAGTCCCAAAAGGAATAGAATTAGCAAGCCTATAATATTAGTTCCTAATTAGGACTCCTAAATATATAAATAGGGGACTTAAGAGGCACCTAGAACCCCCAACCACAATAAACGACTCACCATCCCAAAAGAGCTCCAAGAATTCCCTTAGAAGAAATCAAGAAAGCAAGAAAGCTTAAAGAAAGACCCTTCATAGCCAAGGAATTAATTAAGGCTAAGAGGTAACCCATGTCTCAACAAAACCTATTTTCATAGTTATGATTCCCCCTTAGGGTTTCCCCATGTTATTGTGTATTAATGACTTGTGATGATTATTATTGATGATTGATGTGATTATCCCATGGGGGATCTTGATAATCTTGATATTGGGAGATTCTTGATAATTATGATGTTCTTGATGATTATATGGAGTTCTTGATGATTATGTGTTGTTCTTGATAATTGTGTGATGCTCTTGATGTTTATGTGTTATTCTTACCGAATCTTGCAATTAGAAGACGAACTGTATTCTTGTTGATATAAAAGTGATTAGAACCCTAGGTTGTATCATATGATCTTATTTTTGGATTATCGGGTGGGGAAATCGCATGTTCGGGTGTTGAGTATATTTTGAAAAGGATGATAAGTTATGTGCCGTTCGTTTCTTGTATTTGTTTCGTTAATTGTCTACGTGTTGTCGTTAATTGCGTTGTAAAGTGTCTAAGCATGGTTTCGGGTTCCACAACGGTTCCCGGGGCGTAAAGTGTGTGAAAAGAGTCAGTGGGGGGGTAGGGGACCCGTCACCTACGCACAGCCGTGAAACACCGCCCGGCAGCGGGTGGCCGGCGGGCGGGCAGCTGCCCGCTGGCGACCCGCTGCCCGGAACAGTAAAGTCCGGCGGGCAGCCGGCGGGTGGCCCCCCACCCACCGGCTACCCGCTGGAAATTATCCCACCTTGGGATCCCGGCTTCCCAGTTTGATGTTCCCCCGTTCCCCGTGGTGTCCCAACGGACTCCGTTTGTCGTGCCTATGTCTAGTTTGATGTTTCGGGTACCGTTCGTAGGTTTATGAGTTTATTATATTGCATGCTAGTTGAATTGGTATCCCGTTGACCTAGGTGGATGGAATATGAACCCCTTAGGACTATTCTTAGTATGTGAAGGATCACGCATAGGTTTTGTTATACGCTTTCCCCCCCTTCCCAATATGTAATGTGGGTTGCATGTGCTTGCGGTGTGATATGTGTGTGTGTTACCCCAATTCGGTTGCGATCGGATTGGTTATCCTGAGCTGCGGTTCAGAAGCTGGTTGCGGTCAGATTGATACTCTTGGGCTGCGGTCCACCGTTTGGCTGCGATCAAACGTTTCTATACGAGCTGCGGTTCGTCCTCTTTCCTGGCTGCGGTCAGATGACATTCTCTTGGGCTGCGGTCCACTGTTTGGTTGCGATCAAACACTATGATGAGCTGCGGTTCATCGGTCGGTTGCGATCGACCCCTCCGTGTTGTGATACGGGGCAGGGTGCTGCGGGGCCGTGTCAGAGCTATATGCGCTGACCCTCATGTATGGGCATGCGATTGGTCATGTGGCACCAACAAAGTGTGCTATGTGTTGTGATATGGATGAGTGGTGATCATGAGTGTCTTGGGGGATGTGACTATGGGATTTATGTTGGGGATTGCTTATGTTGGGTTGTGACTATTGTTTATGCTTTGCCTTATCTGCCTTATCTGTGGTGAACTGCATATGATTGTTATAACTGTTGCTCATGTCTGGCCTTATCTGTCGAGTCATTCCCGGTTTTAAAAGCTAGAGTTCGTAGGATATATCTTCATGCTCAAAATGGTTTTCGTATATCTATATATATCTCTATATGTATTGTATTTCAACGCGTTGGAGTGGGTTACCAGCATCTCTCGCTGAACAGATATATTTGGCTTCCAGGCACAGAAGAATAAGTCACTGGAGCGCGCTAGAACTTGGAACGTAGAAATAGATAGTTTCCCTTTTCGGCCTGCGTGCCATGCTTATGCCTTTACATTATTGAGGATATTAGTTAGTTAGCCTGTGCACCTGAGTTCTCTAGCCCAGGTGTGGCAGAGCACCCCATACTCTTGTATTATGTTTTGGGATTTAATGGGATTTCACCTTTATTTTATAAGTTTTAAATGTCTTGAAAATCTCGGGTGTTACAAGGAAATTCACTAGTGAATAAGTGTCCACCGACACTTCTCTGAGTGCTTCGCACAAAGCTACACTCCTCCAAGGTTTTTCGCAAGCTCCTCTTGTTACTCCGCCTTCCCGAGTACTTCGCAACAAGCTGTACTCTTACACCACGAGAACTACACACAAAGCTACGCTCTCACAGGGTTTTCACAAGCTCCCCTTGTTACTCTGCCCTTTACACCAAAGCTACACTCAACCAGGGTTTTTTCACTCTCTCTAGTTACTCCGCCCTCTTTCTACACTCAGTAGAGAATGTTACAAAGACATAAAATTTTTCTCTCACTCAGACTTGAATTCTTTCGTATATAGCTCAATATATCACTTGATGTTTGATTGGATTTGTTTTTCGTATTCAGCTCTTGTTCAAGTGTTCTTGTCTTCAAGTGTGCTTCGGCAATTTATAGCCAATGAAAGCTATTTGCCCGTTGATCTACTTTCAATCTTGATTGTCCATTTTGAATGCTAGTTACTGTCAACCTACCAGGACTATGTGGTCTAATGGTACCCGGGTTGGACTTTCATTTGGAAGATTATGAGCTCGAGCCTCAGTGGATGCGTTATTGGCTCTTTGTGTTTCAGTAGGTTGAGAAAGTATATGAACAGATACTACAATGTATAGAGCCAGTAACTTTCAAAAAAAATAATAATAATATTGTCAACTTGATCTGAAAATATTAGGTAGAAGTCTTTTCTCCTTTTGTCAGATGATTTGAATAATTTGCCCGTTACCGTGTCTTGAATTTTGTAGCCTCCAAAATTTTAATAAGTTCGGCAAGCTTGATTTTTTCTTGTCCTTCATAAATGCTCTGACATGTCAAGTTGATCAAATAATTTAGCTGTTGATTCTTGCTTGAGTATGAAACAATTTCTTCGTGAATCAGCCTCCTTTGAGCGTCTCCGGTTCCACCGTAAAAAGTTGATGTTGAGATGAAAATATATCAGTTATTTTCCCCTTCATGATCCTTGTTGAATAATATATTGGAACCTCTGTAAAAACTTCATAGTTTGTTCACGGTGAGATGCTCTGTTTCGATTTTGTGTTTGGTCCACCATACTTGGTGTGTTTCTTCATCAGTGCTTGGCTTTTGTGAGACTTGTGCATTTGACTTGGTTAGTTTCCATTTTACTTAGTCTCCATGCTAGTTAGTCTCCAATACAGTTTAGATAGTCTCTCATACGGTGGGGGTTAGTCTAGATAGTCTCTCATACGGTGGGGGTTAGTCTCTCATACGACATCCATAGTCTCCCAAGCAAGGTAAAAATACTTCTCTTGAGATTTAAACTTAGAATCATTTGATATAGCTCACACGCGTATCATCCAACTCCTCTAGCATGGTTCTTGGTGACTTATCCGCATCATAATTGTGTTAAGCTATAATCCTGCTTAACTTCTTCAAATAAATTATGATCTTCTAGACTTGTACATGGGTTGCATGATATGGGTGCACCATACTCTGTAGACTCAAATAGAATAAAATTGGGGACTACTTGATTTTTCAAAAATACATTCGGCTCATCAAAATTTACAATTTATTCCTAACAGCAGCATTATATTTGACTCCTGGATCAGCATCTTTTTTCACTTTGGTTACATCCTTTATTTTCTCCTTAATTCTTTCTCTCTCAATCAGCTCTTTTTCTCTTGCAAGTCTCGCCTCTTCTTGTTTATTCCAAAGCTCTCGTTTGCTTTTTTGATCTCATCATTTCTTTGGCTCTGATAGACTTGCCTGGAATAGTTGTCCTTGTTTTTCATCATAACCGGTATGTTGTAACCTTCGAAGCGTTTTCCACTTCCTTCTTCATATGGTTGATAAGTATGGAAATTTCCTATAGCGTCCATGGTTACACTCTCTTTTCGCATAAGCTTTTGACGGAAGTTCTTCTTTTCTCTGTTCGTTTTTCCATGAAAAGAGAATTCGGAATTGGATCCGAAGGATTGGCGAGGTCTGATGGAATGTTGTTTGGATCTTGAAGAGTGCTGTTGACGAGACCTAGAAGCTGGTGGAGTTGATCTCGTGTTTCTTGGTGAATTTCTTCCAACTTCATGTCTTGTTGTTCTTCTTTCATTTCTCCTGGATTCATCTGGACGAGATGGTGAACGATTCCTGTTTTCGTCTTCATCTTCACCATTTCTTTTCTTTTCCCCCTTTTTGGCATGAGCACATGGGGAGGCAGAGAATCTTGACAACATGTTAACGGCATTAAGGACATCTTTGACATATTCGAGCATTGTGAGCTGATATTCTCCCATCTGGTACATATTGTCATGTCCTAAGTCGATCTTTGTACATGCAAGATCAACTCTCTCCTTGAGGCTGAAATGGGAGAGTTTAAGATTGTGCTGCTCTTATGAAATTTTGTCAAGAAGATGACTTTGACGCGGAGCTCTTTCGCCATCTTTTCCTGGGGATTGGAAGTAGACGAACTTGGTTGTTGTTGAGACATGGTTTTCATTAATTGGTCCACCTTGTTGTTCAAGTCTGTTAGAGTAAGACTGTCTTGCTCTCGATGAACCAAATAGTCCCTGTGGATGAGTTCCCGTGTTCAGCATGTAACACCCCGTGTTACGGCCCCTAAAACCAATTAATCATTTAATCAATACCCAAAAGAAAAGACTAAATTCCAATAATTAATTAAGAAAAGGCCCACCATAGTCCATGGGCCCTTATCCCTAAACCCAATCCCCTAGTTCTAGAAGGAATAAAACTAACACTATTTAGGGACTCTTAGGTATATAAATAGGGGGCATAGGAGGCACCTAGAACCCACACCACAATAATCCCTCACCACACAAGAAGTTCCAAGAATCCCCCTAGGAGAAATCAAGAAAGAATGAATCTCAAAGAAAGACCCTTCATAGCCAAGGAAATTAATTAAGGCTAAGAGGTAACTCATGTCTCAACAAAACCTATTTTCTTTGCTATAATCTTCTTCTTTGGCTCCTTCTCTATGCTTGTGTCTTGATAAATCTTTTATGATGATGATGGTATGATCTTGAGGTTGATGAGATGATCTTTTGTGTTGATCTTGGTAATCTTGATGATTATAAGAGGATCATGATAATTGTGTGTTGATTCTTGATAAATCTTGATGATCTTGATTTTAAAGATAAACTATGATTTTGATGATTTGAAGATGATTAGAGCCCTAGGTTAAATTGGGGATTTCGTATTGTGATATTCTTGATATAATTGGGTGGGATTTTGCATGTTCGGTTGTTAATTATGTTTAGAAGTCATGTTAGGATGTGTTCAATATGTTTCTTGGTTTTGATCCGTTATTTGACTACATGGTGTTGTCGTTTGCGTTTAAAAGTGTCTAACCATGGTTTCGGGTTCCACAAAAGATCCCGGGACCCAAGTTTTGAAAAAGAGTCAGTGGGGGGTAGGTGGGAGTAGGGGAACCCGCCACCTACCCGCTGCCCCTAAAGGCGTCACCGGCAGCGGGCAGCCGGCGGGCAGGCGACTGCCCGCCGGGCACCCGCATCCCAGTAGCCTCGCCGCCGGCGGGTGGTCCTCCTCCCGCTGGCCACCCGCTGGTTTCCCTAGTGTGGGATGGTGGTTTTCCCCGTTTGATGTTTCCCCGACCCTCGTGGTGTCCCAATGGACTCCGTTTATTGTGCCTTAGTCTAGTTTGATGTTTCGGGTCCCATTCGTAGGATAAACGAGTCTTATATATGTTGCATGCTAGTGGTATTGGTATCCCGTTGGCCTAGGTGAAAGAAGTATGAACCCCTTAGGATTATTCCTAGTATGTGGATGACCACGCATTGGTTTCGTTATACGTTTTCTCCCCTTTCCCAGTGTGTTAATATGGGTTGCATGTGCTTGTTATGTGTTATGTGTGGTTATTCCTGAGCTGCGGTTCAGAAGCTGGCTGCGGTCAGAATTACACTCTTGGGCTGCGGTCCACCGTTTGGTTGCGATCAAACGTTTTACATGACCTGCGGTTCATATTCCTGGCTGCGGTCAGATGATCACTCTTGGGTTGTGGTCCACTGTTTGGTTGCAATCAAACATTATGATGAGCTGCGGTTCATTGGTCGGTTGCGATCAACCCCTTCGTATTGCGATACGAGGCAGGGTGCTGCGGGGCCATGTCAGAGCTATATGCGCTGACCCTCATGTATGGGCATGCGATTGGTCCTGTGGCGCCACCAAAGTATGCTTGTGTGTGATGAGATACGAATTGGGATGATGATATGAATGAGATGAAGTGAATCTGTGACCATAGGATATATGCTAGTATCTCTATATGCTTGATTATAACTGTTGAATGTGCTTATCCCTATCTGTCGAGTCTATTCTTTGTTTTAAAACTAGTGTCTCCTAAGTATATATATTCCTGCTTCGAAATGATTTTCGTATATCTATATATATCTATCTATAATGTATTTCAATGCGTTGGAGTGGGTTACCAGCATCTCTCGCTAAACAAATATATTTGGCTTTCAGGCACATAGATGTAGACACTGGAGCGTGCTAGAGATTTGGAGCGTAGAGTAGATAGTTTTCCCTTTCGGCCTGCGTGCCATGCTTATGTATTTACATTATCGAGGATATTAGTTAGTTATCCTGTGCATCTGGCTTCTCTAGCCCAGGTGTGGCATAGCACCCCGTACTCTATTATATTATGTTTTGGGATTTAATGAGAATTTACCTTCATTATATAAGTTTCAAAAGTTTTAAAATTTCGGGGTGTTACACAACATCTGATGCATGATGTTTTTAGGTTCAAGTGATTCGATACGAAGACCTTGTTCAGGATAAAGTTGCATAGGCTGTGGCAACACATTCCTCTGTTAAAAAACAAACGGTTGTGCACGAGGTGATGCTTCCAGTTTGTCATCACCAGGTGATGCTTCCATTTCGTCATCACAAGCTGGATTTGCAACAGCTTTATTGTGTTTAGGTGGTGGCATGGCGAGAGATGGATCACAAGGAGGATTTTCCTTTGGTGGAGATGAGCGAGGTGCGGGGGATTGTTCAGGTATGAATTCGGTGTTGCCTATGACAAGAGATTCACTTTTATAGCCCGAATCGTTGTCATCGTCGTCATCATCTCCTGAATCATCATCATCATTCTTCTTCTCATCATCTGTCTGCTCATCACCTTCATCATCATCATCATCATTCTCCTTCTCATCATCGTTCTTCTCATCATCTTCTTCATCATCATCTTCATTCTCAGTCTCTTCTTCATTATCTTTGCCTTCAGCATTGCCATTGGTATCGGTTTCATCATCATTTCCATTATTATTCGGAGACCCATTTGCGTCAAAGTCCGCCTCACTGCTTTCGTGTTCTGCAGAAGTCCTTTCGTCCTCATCATCAATTTCCTTCCCTTCGTCATCCTTGGATCCGCTAACATTACAAGCCGGATCATTCTGATGAGTTCGTTCTAATTCTGTCTTGACTTTAGACAGGAGGAGAGCATATCGAAACTCTTTCATTTCTTCTTCGAAAGCTGGGTCCAATGGAGACTTATTCAGCTCAATGCAAATGGGAGCTTTGTCTTTCCCAAGAGTGCGATGGGTCACCTTGTAAGAATATACATGGATGATGGTTTCAAGACGGATTGCATTGTAGACGTCTCGTGTGCCAATCCACTCTAGAGCGATGTGTTCCTCATCCTTCATTTCGTCAAATGTTTCAAGGAAAGTTTGCAAAGGAGAGGTTCGCCATTTTTGCCATTGCATGACTGTTAAAATCATTCTCAATTGATTGACGAAGCAGTTGATCTCTTGATGGAGGTATTGGTACAACTTCAGGTACTGGTATAACTTCTCTTGAGTCCTCTGCTATAGCATGTAACACCCCCGCCAAAACAAGACTACTTAAAACGAGTCTTAACACCTACAGATCAAGCACAAAACTAGCACAGCGGAAGATAAAAAGATAACTGGATAAAAGGAATCCAAAACGGGGTGTTATGCCACGTATACCACACTAGGTATACGCTACGGCGACAATCTGCAAGTGTAACACTATCCCCAAAACAACCAAACTAGAACAATCTAAAGACATTGGCACACAGGCCTCAACAACACTGTCTAAAGATACAGGTGCTAAGCTACCGGCTCTAGACATCGCGCTCGACTACGCATCACCTGAAAGATACAAAGATAAACATCGGGGCGACGCCCGGTCAATGAAAGATGCTGGTAACCCACCAATACCGTTAAGTATCATAAATAGGTAGATATATAATATGAAAACCATTTTCAAAACAGAATACATATATATAAGTCAAAACCAAGATCAAAAGAGAACACAAGACTCACCACTCACAAGGACAAAACCGGGAACACATCCCAAACCACAAAGGTTAACCACACACAAGGATAAAGACTCACCCAACGGCAACACATGCCAAACACCACACCACAAGCCTCCGTGACTACACACGTCACGAGAGAAGAGAACTCACCACAACAACGGCTTCACAAGCCCTCGTGACATCACCCATCACGAGTTGATATGCCTTCCTTATGCCATGTTCCAACCTTATGGCTACCCCTAACCTTGTATCTTCGGTGCCATCCATTACCTCCAGAAAGCCCTTGTACATCCAACTCCAACCTTATTCCTCCGGGACCGTCATCCCCCACCTATAACCACCATCGAAAACCCACCAATTCACGGAAACACATGCCCGGATAACACAATGTTATCCCCCAAACACGTGGACTCAGCCACAACTCCATGAAATCACGTCACAGCCACCACGAGGACCGCTGCAATACCTTGGTGACTAGCGTCCCATACCACTAATCGTGCAATCCAGGTAAAGCCACACACGCACCACCACTCACGCGAAACAAGCAACGGATTACAACAGAGGTACGAAACATACTCAAATAACAGACAGGTCACCACCCATCGACAACAACGACGGTAGCATTAGGATAATAACTAGCAAGCTCAACAACGAGGAAACTCAAGATAGTTCCGAGGAACACACAAGACACCACACGGTTACGATCCCTAAAAACAATTAAATCATTTAATTGTTTACCCAAAAGAAAGAATTAAATCACAATAATTAATTAGGAAAGGCCCACCATAGTCCACGGGCCCTTATCCCTAAACCCAATCCTTAGTTCCAAAAGAAATAGAATTAGAAAGCCTATAATATTAGTTCCTAACTAGGACTCCTAAATATATAAATAGGGGACTTGAGAGGCACCTAGAAACCCCCCACCAAAATAAACGTTCCACCACCCTAAAGAGCTCCAAGAAACCCCTTAGAAGAATTCAAGAAAGCAAGAAAGCTTAAAGAAAGACCTTTCATAGCCAAGGAATTAACTAAGGCTAAGAGGTAACCCATGTCTCAACAAAACCTATTTTCATAGCTATGATTTCCCCCGTAGGATTTCCCCATATTATTGTGTATTGATGATTTGTGATATTATTATTGATGATTAATGGGATAATTCCATGGGTGATCTTGATGTTGGGAGATTCTTGATAATTATGGTGTTCTTGATGATTATGTGGAGTTCTTGATGTTTATATGTCGTTCTTGATAATTGTATGGCATTCTTGATGCTTATGTGTTAATTGTACCGAATCTTGTAATTAGAAGGCGAACCGTATTCTTGTTGATATAAAAGTAATTAGAACCCTAGGTTGACGTTATAGTTGGCATTCTTGATGCTTATGCGATATTCTTACCGAATCTTGTAATTAGAAGACGAATCATATTCTTGTTGGATTAAAAATAATTAGAACCCTAGGTTGTATCGTGGAATTCGTATGGTATTATTCTTGGTATATTGGGTGGGATTTCACATGATTGGGTGTTTATTAGGTCTAGATAAGCATGATAGGTTATGTGCCGTTTGATTCTTGATTTTGATCCGTTATATTGTCTACGTGTGTTATCAATTGCGTTTGAAAGTGTCTAAGCATGGTCTCGGGTTCCACGAAGGTTCCCGGGGAGTTTTTGGTGTTAATGAGTCAGTGCGGGGTAGGGGACCCGCCACCTTCCCGCGGTAAAAAAGGGACAGTTCCGGCAGCGGGCAGCCGGCGGGCGGGCAGCTGCCCGCCGGCGACCCGCTGCCCGGAAAAGTATTTACCGGCGGGCAGCCGGCGGGTGGCCCCCCACCCACCGGCTACCCGCTAGAAATTCCCACACTTGGGACCCCGACTTCCCCGTTTGATGTTTCCCTGACCCCCGTGGTGTCCCAACGGACTCCGTCTATCGTGCATATGTCTAGTTTGATGTTTCGGGTACCGTTCGTAGGTGGTATGAGTCTTATATATTGCATGCTAGTTGAATTGGTACCCCGCTGACCTAGGTGAAAGGAGTATGAACCCCTTAGGACTATTCTTAGTATGTGAAGGATCACGCATAGGTTTTGTTATACGTTTTCTCCCCCTTCCCAATGTGTTAATGTGGGTTGCATGTGCCTGCTATGTGTTATTTGTGCGTGTCACCCCGATTTGGTTGAGATCAATCGGGCTATACGGGCAGTCGGGTGGGCTGAGAACCATACCGGCTGTTAACCAGGCTGGTAGAGACCGGTCAGGTATATAAATATTATATAGGACTAAGTTCCACTATACGGGCAGTCGGATGGGTTGAGAACCATGCCAACTGTTAACCATGCTGGTAACGACCGGTCAGGTATATAAATATTATATAGAACTGTGGTTCAATAGTCGGTTGCGATCGACTCCTCCGTAAGGTGAGACGGGGTAGGGTGCTGCGGGGCTGTGTCAGAGCTATATGCGCTGACCCTCATGTATGGGCATGAAATTGGTCCTGTGGCGCCAACAAAGTGTGCTATGTGATGAGAAGTGGATGAGTTGTGTTTATGAGTATATTGGGGGATGTGACTATGGGATTCATGCTGGGGATTGTTGATGTTGGGTTATGATTATTAATTGTGCTCAGCTTTATCTGTCTTGCCTGTTGTACACGCTTGTTATAACTGTAACATGTGTCTAGCCTTATCTGTCGAGTCATCCCCGGTTTTAAAAGCTAGAGTTCGTAGGAGATATCCTCATGTTCAAAATGACTTTTCATATATCTATATATATATATATATATATATATATATATATAGGTATTTCAACGCGTTGGAGTGGGTTACCAGCATCTCTCGCTGAACATATATATTTGGCTTTTAGGCACAGACGAGTAGATCACTGGAGCGCGCTAGAAACTTGGACGTAGCTTAGATAGTTTTTCCCTTTCGGCCTGCGTGCCATGATTTAGTACTGGTACTATTTGAGGATATTAGTCAGTTAGCCTGTGCACCTGAGTTCTCTAGCTCAGGTGTGGCATAGCACCCCATACTCTTGTATTATGTTTTGAAATTCAACGAGATTTCACCTTTATTTTATAAGTTTTAAATACCCTGAAAATCTGGGGGTGCTACAGTTGGTATCAGAGCCTAAGTTGACCCTAGGACAAGACTCTTAAGACCAGACTTTAGGACAACAGACTCAAACTCTAAGTATTTAGGAACATAGGATTCAGGAATCCTAGGACACGTGGTGAGACTGTGAAACCTACACATAAGGGACACCTGGAGAAAACTTTCCCCGTTATCACAAAAGGGACATCAAGCCTCAATTTAACGTTCTTATAAACATTGACCCAGGAAGACGACAACATGGCTGTAACACCCCGTGTTACGACCCCTAAAACCATTTAATTAATTAATCAATAGCCCAAAAGAAAGAATAAATTATAACTAATTAGGGAAAAAGGCCCACCATAGTCCATGGGCCCTCATATATAAACCCAACCCCTAAACCCAATCCTTAGTCCCAAAAGGAATAGAATTAGCGAGCCTATAATATTAGTCCCTAATTAGGACTCCTAAATATATAAATAGGGGACTTAAGAGGCACCTATGACTCCCCACACGTCTAAACGCCCCACCACCCCAGGAGAGCTCCAAGAATTCCCTTAGAAGAAAGCAAGAAAGCAAGAGAGCTTAAAGAAAGACCCTTCATAGCCAAGGAACCAATTAAGGCTAAGAGGTAACCCATGTCTCAACAAAACCTATTTTCATAGTTATGATTCCCCCTTAGGGTTTCCCCCATATTATTGTGAATGGCGAGATCTGTTGATTATTATTGATGCTTGACGTGATGACCCCATGAGGGATCTTGATAATCTTGATATTGGGAGATTCTTGATAATTATGGTGTTCTTGATGATTATATGGAATTCTTGATGATTATGTGTTGTTCTTGATAATTTTGTGATGTTCTTGATGCTTATGTGTTATTCTTACCGAATCTTGAAATTAGAAGACGAACCGTATTCTTGTTGATATAAAAGTGATTAGAACCCTAGGTTGTATCGTATAATCTTATTCTTGGATTATCGGGTGGGGAAATCGCATGTTTGGGTGTTGATTATATTTAGGAAAGCATGATAGGTTATGTGCCGTTCGTTTCTTGTATTTGATTCGTTAATTGTCTACGTGTTGTCGTTAATTGTGTTGTAAAGTGTCTAAGCATGGTTTCGGGTACCATAACGGTTCCCGGGGCGTAAAGTGTGTGAAAGGAGTCAGTGGGGGGTAGGGGACCCGCCACCTACCCATGTCCGTAAAACACCGCCCGGCAGCGGGTGGCCGGCGGGCGGGCAGCTGCCCGCCGGCGACCCGCTGCCCGG